ACTATATAAAATCATTGACTACTGTGTTTAATAAGATCATATTTATAATTGTTTATACTTTTGAAACAATTGTCCAGTAATTAGTACTAAAAATAATTAAAATTATTAAAAATATTTTCCTCCTGTTATCAATTTCCGTCACAATTGTTATTTTCCTTAGTTTCCCTAAAAAATCCCTCCCGAAAACATGGGCATTTTAGGAGTTTTTAAATTAACGCATAACATTACATATAAGTACATTTAAATAGATATTTGAAATACAAAACACAGGAGTTTTTGTTTTTTCATTCAAAACTCTTAATATAGTTTATATATTCCATTGAATTCGTACATTTGACGTTGACAAACCTTAATCATCATGAATTAAAAATAATATCAGGATGTTATTATGATAATCTATACAGCATACAATAACAAAAAATGTAAAAATTATTTTTGTAAGTCAAAACATATTGTAGCAGGATCATATTTTAATGTCAAAATTCAAAATTAATTTACGAGATAATTACATAAATTATTCAAAAAATTTCCAACAGATTCATGAATTGAATTTAAAGTAAAATAAATATTAAAGGGATGTTAAAGTATTCGTCCACTTCTGAATTGAATAAAAATAAATTTTATTTAAATTCTCCTTTAATTCTGTGAATCGCTTTTTGAAGGGATTTAATATTACGAGAATCGCAACTATTCTATGAAATTGTGTTTCAATTTTTGCTTAAATATAACTCCATTGAGAATACATTTATTTAAATTAACCAAAAATTATTCATTCAATAAAATAATGTGTTTTATTTAAATAAATATCGCATTGAATAAACAGATTGTGTGATTCTCTACACCAATATTTATAATTGAATTTATCTTTAAATTTAGTTTTTCCTGTAATTAAGTTTAGTCTAAAAGTCAAACATTATGTTTCAGTTTTTATTAAGCAACTGAGAAATTGATAGTTATTTTAAAATATTAAAGCTTTGAACTGTACATGAAATCAATTGAAAGTTAAACACATTTTCATTTCATACATCTATTAATAGAAAGATAGAGGAAAAAGATTGTGGTAAATATCAGGTCATTTCAATGATAACAGTATGATATCTATGGGCGAAAAGACGGTCACACTTTGATATATCCGCTAACTTTGATCTCAAAGCATAACCACTGGACGCGTGATTTCACACGTGAATGCATTTGGAAATTATTTATATTTTTAAATTTACTTTTATCTCAATTTATAGCAATAAGATATGTTTTACATTCTTTAAATTTATTTATTCATTTGATGATAAAAAAAAGGTTTATTGAGTTTAAAATGATTTAAAAAAATATATTTTATAGAAAATTGTATAAAACATTTAAACCAATCAGAATGTTTTTAAAAAGTTATATACATACTTATATTTTAGAAATAATATGAATATATTTTTTGTTGGCTGTAGAATATTCTTATTGCACAACTAATCAATATTATGCGTTAACTATATAATAAAGATAAATTACATATAGGTAATTAAACTAACATGGTTATAAGTTATGCAATTTAAGAACAAGTATTATGACATATGAAATATATAAGTGTCACATAAAGATTTCTGAAATAGTTTTATGGCTCTTAAAGATAATAAATATACCTTGTGATATACGCCATAAACTAAAATGTAACAAGTAGATATTTTGGCATGTAAAAGACCTAAATTAATAAATAGATTAATTATTTAATAAAAAGTATACAAAGTATGGTTTAAGATTCAATCACATGTAATCAAATTTTAAAATCTTAATTTTAACACATAACTTTATAAATTGAATATAGCATATCATAATTGTTAATTGTGAAATATAGATATTTGATATAAATACATCAAATTTCCAAACTATCAACATTACTGTAATCTAAATTATTCATGTGATCGGATGAGAAATTATATAATGAAAGGTGCACTTAAGATTGAGTTTCACTATAAGTTACACAACTTGTTGAATGATTTCATAATTATATGATTAGTAGACAATATTACACTATTATCACAAATGATTTCCATCTAAAGTCATGTGAATTAGGGATCGAAACATACCTTCAATGATAACACATTATTATCGCTCTGTTATACTGTTATAATAGGATTTTACAATTCATTTGTAAGCCTTTAGTGCTCTAACCCTGCAATCAAAACCCGCATTCATTTATATTATATCATATTTTCTAGTTATTTATCGCGGGATTAGTTTTCTCGCGAAAAGTAGATTTTTTGTTAATTGTTTTATTAGCCAATGGTTTAGAATTGCACACAAATTGCATGCAATCAATACTTGTGTTCTTTAAAATACATGTACAGTATATCAGTACAATTATCATCAGGAATAAAAAGTTCACATGATCAATTCATTGTTTGATTTCAATAATTTTATTCTTAATTATATAAAATCTTAAGACATGTTTAATTTAAAATAAATGCTATAAAATCATAAATATTATCATATAATGCAAACTGCAATAAATACAATACATATAATAATTAAGTAAATTGTGTTTTGATAATTTAATACCATTTAGTTATAATTAAATTATATGTTTCAAGTTTAAGGACAGGGCTCTGCGCTCTGTTCCGGTCGGACACATGTCTGAAGCGTGTCATCAAATATAGTGTTGTTCTGACACTCGGGATAATCGACGCGTCGGAAATGCGGCGCCGAACCGATGCAACGGTAGAAATGTGTGCACTTCGGGTCATTTCGGTCGCGAAAATAGCCCTCTTTTACACATAAACCCGGCGTTACTTTAGTTGTCATTCCAATGGTTGTAGAAGTGAGCACTTTTGTAGGGGTTGGTGAATGGGTTGGAGTGGGCGGTAGAGTAGGGACTGGTGTTTGGGGTACAGTAGGTTTGGTTGTCGGGGGTTCTGTAGGTCTGGTAGTCGGGGGTTCTGTAGGTATAGTTGTTGGGGGTGTTGTAGGTCTGGTAGTCGTGGGTTCTGTAGATCTGGTAGTCGAAGATTCTGTAGGTCTGGTAGTCGTGGGTTCTGTAGGTTTAGTAGTCGGGGGTTCTGTAGGTTTAGTAGTCGGGGGTTCTGTAGGTCTAGTTGTCGGGTGTTCTGTAGGTCTGGTTGTCGGGGGTTTAGTAGGTGCTGGTGTTGACGGTTCCGTATGTATTGGTGTGGGAGTTGTGTTGAGCTTAACTGTCCTACAGGTGCCGACGTCAGCATATTTAACGCATACCTTATCATTAAATTCATAAAATTGTTAAACAAATATTTAAATAATAAGAAGTATATAATTCAACCGACTTTATTATCACCACAAGGCGTGAGACCATCATTAAAATAAACGGTATAAACATTTCGCGATGTCTTATAAATAACACAATCAACGCGACACGGATTTTGTGCATTTCTTATCTCCTATTTTATTGTAGTTTTAATTAAATATAATGTAAAATAAAATAGTAATTAATTATTATTATTTATTATTGCGTTACCGATCGGTCGCTTTGACTCAATTTATCGTAATCATAATCGGGATAAAATTTTAGACATAGTTTGATCCTCTGGTCGTCTGGTATCGGATCACCGCGTCTTATATCTAGTTATAAATTTTTATTGTACAACAAATTTATATTTTATAATTACTTAATTAAATACAACTCACTTTCAATTGTTTCATTATTTGCCAAATTATATCTATAATCAATGGTTAAGTTTGAAATGTAATTAACAAAAGTATTAGCAAATAAAACAAAAAATATAAAATTATAACAGAAAGTCATTGTATTGTTAATTGCAATGTCTTTATGCCCTTTGATATTGAATTCGAGAAAATATTTCGCTATTCTTAATGTTAGGGTTGAAAGGGATTTACAGTTATATAATATCGCAGATTTGCTTTTCATTGGAAAACAATTAATTGTTGATTAGAAATGAATGGCAATTATCAGTGCATTTCATTTTGCTTTATTGTAAAGTCGATGACTTTTTAAAATATTAATATTTATTCAAACTATTTTTAATTCTCAAAGACAGCACATAAAGTACTTTTTAGTACTCTTTGTAATGCAGATTAATTATAATTAAATTAATATAATATAGATTAGTTATATTTTTGGCGCATTTAAACCATCTTGTTTTGCAGTTAATTCATACATAACGATAGTTTGATAGCTTTAATACCTATGTTTTATAACGTATTGATTTGAATTACATCCATAAAAATTATTATCAAACAAAGTTGCATAATATTACTTATTGATACTGAATTGGCACTTGTGATTAAAGCCGTATTTCAAACAATTGAGAAATACAAGCTTGTTAGTTTTAATTTATTCTATGATACTTAAGGACATTATTTTAAGAGTTTTGCAAATAAAAGTTTGTATGAAATGACACACAGTTTGTATTGAAACAGTTGTCTCATAATAAATAAAAAAAATATTTATTATATTGCGGTATAAATTCTCAATTATATAATGTAAACAATTAAATGTCAATTGAATACAATTTATCAACTTTAATATTTACTTATTTGCTTTGTAGTAAATGTCAGCCACTATAATGTACAATAGACATTTACTCTCTAGTCTCTATAAATGAACCCAGTTAGAATATTAATTTTATATAAATAATAAAATTCTATGTTGCTTAAATTTAAAAATTAAATATATTGTTATTTGTTATTTATATTATCGATATAACGATATAATGATTTTTAATAAATGATAAAAAAATATTATAATAATAATGAATAAATGCACACAAAGAATATAATGATTACATAGTAATTAATAATTAAAGTTTTGCTGTTCAGTCCGCGAGTCGGTAACCGGTGTGACCACAAAACGGGGTATAGATGAGGGCGACACCGGGGGCGCCGATCGCGGCCATAGGCTGTAGCGCGAGTGGTCGGTCTGATGCAGTGATCGCCGCAATAGTAGACTATTTCTATTTCTCGATCGATTCATATCATTCACTAATAGATTGTCGCCAAACGTAAAAACATCGCTATTTCTGGGCTGTATTCCCGCCGAAAGTGGCATTTTGATGGTCGGTGTCGGCGGTCGAGACCGTTCACCCATTGAGAACCGGTCGTAATCCACATCCGATGTCTGTTAATGTAAGCGCATTATAAGTAAGCAATACTTTAAATGTTAATTGCATTGAATATTACAATAATAGTGGGCGCTATTTGTGACAAACGAGAGGGTCGTCTACCGTTACGGCGATTAGCGATGGCTCCCATTTCGACGCCCGAAATGCGATAACTGGACATATTTATGGAAACAGCGCTACTCCGGCGTCGGCTATCCTTTCCTCCGCCGCTCTCTTTATTCATGTTATTCATCGGCGGCTGAAACAGGCTTTGGCTCATCCTTCGCAACAAATCGGCCTATAATTAGCGGAAACATTATTTTGCAATTTATTTATCTGTCATGTGAGACAATAATAAGAACTAAAAATGCTATTAATTTAATAAATAAATGAATGCTTACATTATGTGTGGATAGTCTGGTCCGTTGAATAGATCTGTAGACATCGTCGGCCTCGACGTCCCTAACAATATCATTAAGTGTATGAAATTGTGTGACTCGGGCTTCGGGGGTGTTTGATAGCAACTCGTTGGCGTCGATCCCATTCATGTCCTTTACAATTATATTAATAACAAATGCCATTAAGATATTGTATTACAAAAAACTTCAATAAGCTTTTTGTCTTCAATGTTTAAGTTAATGTGTTTTGTATATTATGTCGGATGTCTTACCGCCCATTCCTTGAGCACCCGTTCGCCCATATTATCACTACTGCTTCCGTGCTCTGCATTATATTCGCGTGCAATCTATTGATGGGTTGTTATAAATTGGGTTTTAAAATATGAATTGGGTTTATTATTATGACTTTCAAGGCTTTGATTGAAAGTGAAGTCTATAAATACCTTAATGTCTTCCTGGAAGAAGCGTCTGGTGTTTGGTGACATTGTAGATAATGGTGCGATCTCTTTGATCTAGGTTAATTATAAAAATTATAAAATTATTTACTTTTCACACAAATTATAAAATTTAATTTAAAATTTTGTATTTTTGCAGACCTTTAACAAAATCAATGCACCGATAAATATGTTGGTTATGTTAATCAGCGATAATATAAGACTCAAAGCGCCCAAAATAGCCGTCTCTATAGCGATGTTGTCGTTATAATAGGGAATGTATTTATCTTCGGGTGTCAGCGATGGACAAAGATTAAGGTACGATCGTTGGGCACCTGTAGTGTAGTTGGTATTGACCGGGTCTTCGCTAATCGAGTACAGGGTTTTCAGCGTAGAGAACGCCCACAACAGACCCTTTGTATACAAAACGAGTTAAGTTTGTAATTATATTTGAAATGTTGTAAAAGTATTTGTCAATCAATTACAGCATTGACTGCCGGCGGAAGCAATGAGACAGAGATGGCAACGCCTACGAGTGAGGCCTCGTTTCCTGATAACAACGATATGGCGACCGCACAGCCGGACGGGAAGGCGACGAGTGTGCCAACCCATGCCACTCGAGGCAGACCCCTCTCCCTCATCATATTTGTCGGCCATTCCTGCTCTGCGTTCCAGTGTTTCGTGAAGTTTAGCGCAATTAAGCCAAAGAAGTAGCCTTTCATTGTGGGGTTTGACATCAATTTTCATTAGTTTTTTAAGGGATAAATAATTTTAACAAAAATTGTTTACCAAATAATATAGTTATTGCAAAACAAACGCCTAAATTCCTGAACCCAAGCCTCCGGAGTGATCTATCCTTAATGATGGTGCCAAATGTCATCGCCATTACCGGTCCCTAAACCATATGATCAATATTAATACAATTGTTTAATTATGATCATTTCATATTGTTTAAAGTAGGGCATAGTGTGGTTGAATAGGTTTTACCATCATGGGTGAGACCAACATACTGGCCACTAAACTGATGACACTGTTGTCGAGCAGACCCATGGCTGCGATCCAAGAGGCGAATATGAGATAACACACGAAGTCAAATGTGAGCGACGCTCCGCTCCTCACATTGTCGACCACCTGAGCGACAGTGAGTCGGGCCGTCACTGACTTCAGGAAAGAGCTCTGGAGTGCCTTAAAATTGCTAAGTTTTCGCTGCACATCCTTCTCACCATTTTCACTGATTATCAATACATAATTATAACAACAATTAGTAAATATTAATTTAGTAAATGATTGATTGTTGAAAAATATTACTTGAGCTCAATCTCGTCCAATGGATCCAATTCATCCTCATAGCAGTACAATGAGAAGGGAATTATACTATAATTATAAAGATATTTGTTGTCATTATTTATAACTAATACTAATAAAAGGTATTTGTAAAAGAGATATCTCACCCAATACTCGATCCCTTACTGCCCACACCTCTGGCCTTAAAGTACTGAATGACTGCATCGCTGTCTTCGAGATCGACGGCGAATGAGATGCCATAATAACTGGTATTCTTTGACTTTTGCCAAACGGCTTCTTCAATGCCTAAATATGTGAGCGATTCCTCCACTAACTGAACGATTCAGACAATCATTATTTGGTTAATTAAATTGATAGTGATTTACAAACTAATTATTTAAATCACATACTGTTTCAAACAGCGGTTCCGTTAAATTATCCAATTTATTGCGGTATTCATTGTTTAGATTCTCGTTTGCCTCGTTAATTGTGTGCAATTCACCTGGAATATAATCAAATTATATTTTATTAGTTAAAACATCAAGTTGTAAATTGTACTTGATTGTTTGCGTTGGATCAGAGTCTTGACACCAAAAAAATACACACAAATAACATTTTTAGACTCAAGGAATTTGTTATTTTCAAAACAATTTTTAATTTATAACATATTTATTTGTCTGTTAGACACAAATAAAAATTCCTTGAGTCTAAAACA